TTTTCCTTCCTTCCTTCCCTCCCTTTTTCCTTCCTTAACTCTCTCCTCCCTCCCTCCCTCCATCTTTTCCTTCCTTCCTTTCCTCCCTTCTGTCCTCCCTTAACTCTCCTTCCTTCCTTCCTTCCTTCCTTCCTTTTCTCCCTCCCTCCCTCCCTCCCTCCTCCTCCTCCTCCTTCTCACCAACTTCTCCAACGAGATTTCCACCTCACCCTCCCACCAGGCTTTTCACAGGGAGAAACGGGCCACCCCCTCCGAGTCAGCCCCACGCCTGCGGCTGGAGTTGGGCCTGATGTCTTATCATGGCTGGCCAGGCTCCAAGCTGTGCTTGCTGTCCAGGAAAAGGTCTCCAGGAGGAGGGACACCTCAGCTTTGTAAGCTAGAAAAAAAAACGACAACTCCCCAGAATTTTCTTTTCTTTTTTCTTTTGAAACCAACATGGGCCCCGTTTTGGGTTGACTGGAAGAAAGGATGTTAACGGCATTTCTCTCTATGGCTTCCTCCCCATCTGTGGCGTGATGGATCCAGAGCCAGATTCAGATTCACAGAGTTGGAAGGGACCTTGTAGGTCATCTAGAATAGTCCAACCCCCCACCCAAGTAGGAGACCCTACCCCATTTCTGACAGGTGGCAGTCCGGCCTCTTCTTGAAAGCCTCCAGGGATGAAGCTCCCACAACTTCCGAAGGCAACTTTGGTTCCACTGGTTGATGGTTCTCCCTGTCAGAAAATTCCTCCTTATTTCCAGGTTGAATCTCTCTCCTTGTTCAGTTTCCATCCATTATTCCTTCTCTGGTCTTTGGGTGCTTTGGACAACAGGTTGACCCCTTCCTCCTCTCTGGGGCAGCCCCTCAAATATTGGAAGGCTGCTCTCCTGTCTCCCCTGGTCCTTCTCTTCCCTAGACTAGCCAGGCCCGGTTCCTGCGACCGTTCGTCGTCTCTTTTATCCTCCAGTCCCCTCATCATCCTGGTTGCTCTTCTCTGCACTTTTTTTACAGCCCCATTTTACAGCTAGTCTTTGGGGTCCCTCCTGTCTCACCTTCTAATGTTTGCAAGGAAAGCATCCAAACCCATCATAATTCAAAGGCAAAGAACCGTTCAGAGATCATGGACCATAGCGGAATTACAAAATTTATTGGAATGTCTTGAAATTCGGCAAGGTAGAACTCCATAAAGACTTCTGGAAGGAGGACAGGAAGAGGGGAGGGTGGTGAGTGGGTGGCATAGACACTTAAGAGCACTTTTCATGTTTGGGAAGGGATGGGGAGGCGAGAAGAAGACGCATCTCCTCCTCACCCAGATCCACTGGCAAACCCAGAAAGCCGGGTCACTTCCAAAAGCAGACGTCCCGTGATTCTTTCCAACCGCAACACGCAGATCCACGGATGCCACGGGGGGAGAAGATTGTCTCGAAATCGCATACGAAGCAGGAAAAAAGGCGTTGGAGTCAAAACACAGAGAGATAATAAACGAGAGAGAGAGAGAGACACAGAGAGAGACAGAGAGACAGAGAGAGACAGAGAGACAGAGAGACAGAGAGACAGACAGAGAGAGAGAGAGAGAGAGAGAGAGAGGAGACCACCGTTGCACCATGGAGGGATTGGGAAACAGAGGCCTGGGTGGGAAGCAGTGGTGGTATTCAGCCGGTTCGCACCGGATCGGGCGAACCGGTAGCAAGAATGTGGCGTGGGTCGCCAAACCGGTAGTAAGTTCTGGCTGGCCATGCCCCCAATCCGGTCGCCCTCTCGCCCAATGCTCGCTTACCTGCCCGCCTGACATTCGCCTATGGTATTTCTTTTCTTTTTTTCCCTCCCGACAGTCAGCTGTGCATAGATCAGCTGTGCTGGGAGACCCTTGCTGAGGCCCAGGAAGGCAAAAAATGGAGGGAGGAGCTCAGGGCCCCC